ATGCGAAGTCTTTAGAGAAAGCTCTGTTGCTGGCCTTTGACAAGTGTACCACTTGGACGGAATTCATTTGTAGCAAAAGCGGAATCAAGAAGCATGCACCCGTAAGAAGCTATGATGTCCAGAGGATGTATGATGAAGCGCTGAAAGCGGTCAAGTTGGAGATGGCTTTGACGGAAAAGAGTCAAAGACCAAGGAAGGAAGGCCCGGTAGCATTTCTGGCGCCCAAGTGCGCAGCAGCACTGGAAAGGGATGGAATGAGAAGCGGTGTAATGACCAAAGTGATAGTACAGTATAGCCAGCTGAAGGAAGAGCTTGAGAAATTAAAGAATTTTCGCGTCTGGATTATTGTTTGGCCAATAGACACCAGGAGAGAAGACGAGGCCATCACTGGAGCAGTTGTGGCGTGCAAGAAGTATCTAGAAGAGGGCGGACTTATAGTATCGGTTTGGCCACCGGTAGTAAGCAATAATGCCCATATTTGGAAAGTCATGACGGAACTTTGGACTCTATTAGACGCCACATTGAAGACATACGCTGGGCCAGACCAGCTCATAACTTTAGCGACAGCGAAAATTGAAGACGGAAAAATATTTATGGAAGCAGGCTCACCAGAATGCAGTTTTCAGTTTTATTCGACCTATCGTGGAGTGGCTTATGCGCGCTATCTGTACGACACCATCAGGAGGAGAGCCCCGGGAGCAGAACTGCAGGAACTGTCGCCACCGCCGCCGAGGACGCCGGCTCCCCGGAGGGGAGGAGTGTCAGATCGGGTAGATCGGGATTTTAGTATTGGCGGGAAGAAAGCCCGCCTTGACCCCTTCGGCAGGGTATAAATACCGGTAGGCAGGGGGGAGTCTCAGTCCGCGCTGGAGAAGCGCTAGAGGGAGCTAACTCCGTCGAAGAGAGGCGGAGCTCCCCCTTAGATAGAGAGTAGTGACTAGTAGCCTGCCGAAGTGGTCAAGAGGGTAAAGCCCGCTGTTTCGTTGTTAAGCCGTGTTCAAGTTACGCATTGTTGTTCATTGTTGTTCGTTGCCGTTATTTCTGAGATAAATTATTAGTCGTTCCATCCGCGTTGTCTATCGATCCGGTTGAAACCGTTATACCACTAGACCACCCCCGGTTACAGTCATATTTTTTCCCTAGAAATGTCCACACCTGCACTTTACTGTGATTCTATAAATGTGTCATTTTTTTCCAAGAATTGCACTTCGCTAGGACAGTGCGCTATCATGATTCATACATTCAATTTAATAAAAAAGAAGGTTGTCCCAATGTATACACCCACTGTTTGATATCGTTATTGGCTCTCTTCCCACAATGCCTATTGCTTAGCTTCAACTACCATTCATTGAAAAATTTCTACGTATTATTTATGGTATAAACAGAGTCACTCATCGCCCTTCACCAGTATTACGGTAGGAACTTTGAAGAATGTTAGGAGTCAAACAATGGCTACACTTCGTCTCAGAATTGACCTTAACAGGCTGCTTTAAGATTAGGCGAAACATAGTGGGCTAACTTTGGGCATGAACTGGAGTGGTAGTAATTTGGTCGAAACCATCATGTTAACTGAGTTTTCATAACACCAGCTAACCAGCAGCTTCACATCATTTTCTCAACGAAACCACGAATTAACCAACAGGAAACCTCGAAATGCTATCTTGCAAAGCAAAGTCATTGGAGGAGATCGAAACTCCAACCATTCTCATGCTTGTCCGCAATCATTGCACTTTACCAAATTTGCTACTCGGTGTGCAGCTTTTCATTCTTTCATGATGGTTGATTTTACTAAGCAGCATCTATACACTGAACTTCTCAATATAGATTAACGAATGAACTTGTTGCCAGTGGCTAAGAGCTTCTCATTCCAAAGCCTACCTTAACACTATGTCGTCAGGAAATAGTGGTGCGTTATCAAATTAGGATGCGTTGTTAGGAAGTATTGCTGGAGACATATTGCAGATGTCAGCGCGGACGATGTGCCTCGTAGGCGCCATAGGAATATTGAATACGTTCGCAGTGATCCGTGCGAGGTCTTTTCAAGTAACAGAGCATTCATACGCTTTAGATTTCGCTTTACTGAAAGGGAGCTATTACGGCTCACGACCAGAGGTGCGATAGTGGGAGCCGATTCTCCCCCTACCTTCACTTTTGAGCTGGTACGGGGTGACCACCTTCACTTTTGGAATAAAAAATTTTTCGCTGGACGACAAAGAAGGAAAGTAAACAAAACAAACGCAAAAAAGATTATTGAAAGCATATATTTATGTATACGGCGGCATATATATTTGAGATAAACGTGCTCAGTAAATGGTGTATTTGGGAGTAAAACTTAACGAAACTGTACGGATTTTATTAAGTAAATTTTGTCATAACATACTGCGAAGGAAGTAGGTCGACCTAGGCAGTAACGGCCGAGAACCAGAATTTTGAATATTTAAATAGTGAAAAATCATGCGAAATTCCACTGTTATAAATCTGTTGTTTGAAGATGTCAGCAGTTGCGACTTTATAGGTTTTGAAGAGTAAATGGTGCTCTTTCAGATAGTGAAAGAATCGAGTGGATTTGAGAGACAGCTGTTGAAAATCAGAATTCTAAAAATTTACGCCATTTTTGCGTGTTTTTTGACAGTTGGCAGTTAAACTCATATAAATCTTGAATGTGAAAGTGTGTGATGTTGCGACTTCATAGGTTTCATAGAGTAAGGTTTGCCTTATCAGGGTATATCTTAGCCGTTCCGATCCATTGAAACACCTCCGAGATCCAGAGTCTTGAAAAAGCAGGCAAAAAAGCGCTCTTTGAATTTCAACAGCTCATAACTTCTTCAGAACTGGATGATTCATGTTGCGACTTCATAGGTTTGATTCTTCTCATCAAGAGCTTTCGGATGATATATAATGTGTGTGGGTTCAAAGCCTCCCACGAATTATGCCCGTGGGGGGAGCCTTTTCATACCGAAGTCTCCCCCTAGCCCATTTTAATGTATTGGAGGGGGAGACTTTGGTATGAAAAGGCTCCCCCCACGGGCATAATTCGTGGGAGGCTCTAAACCCACACATATTTTATATCATCTGGAAGCTCTTGATGAGAAGAATCTAACCTATGAAGTCGCAACATGAATCATCCAGTTCTGAAGAAGTTATGAGCTGTTGAAATTCAAAGAGCGCTTTTTTGCCTGCTTTCTCAAGACTCTGGATCTCGGAGGTGTTTCAATGGATCGGAACGGCTAAGATATATCCTGATAAGGCAAACCTTCCTCTATAAAACCTATAAAGTCGCAACATCACACACTTTTACATTCAAGATTTATATGAGTTTAACTGTCAACTGTCAAAAAACACGCAAAAATGGCGTAAATTTTTAGAATTCTGATTTTCAACAACTGTCTCTCAGTTCCACTCGATTCTTTCACTAGCTGATAGAGCACCATTTACTCTTTAGAACTTATGAAGTCGCAACTGCTGACATTTTCGAACAACAGATTTATAACAGTGGAAATTTCGCATGATTTTTCATTATTCAAATATTCAAAATTCTGGTTCTCGGCCGTTACTGCCTAGATCGACCTACTTCCTTTGCAGTATGTTATGACAAAATTTACTTGATAAAATCCGTACAGTCCAACAAACTTTTACTTCCAAATGCACCATTTACTAAACACGTCTATTTTAATTTTTTTAAATAAAATTTATAAATATTTTCAATATTCATCGTATCTGTGGCCCTAAAAAGGGCAGTAGGGTCACAGTTCGACCTATATCTGTTCGTCCGTTCTACCCCCCCCCCCCCCTCCGTCGACGTTTTTGGGAGGTGAGTGTCCGACACTACCACCTTCACTTTTGGCCGGCCAGTGTTAGCTGGAACCACTTTCACTTTTGATGAGCCCGGCTCCCCCCATCGCACCTCTGCTCACGACGCTTTTGTCATCGAAACTAGCGTATGACACTAGCAGATCTTGGGCTATCTCAAAGAAACAGCAGGTAGAGTCTGCTATGGCCTTCACGATTGGCAACTTTTTGCTGCACTTCCAGAGAAAAGCTTTTAGGTGGCCATAGGTGTTAGATATCTTGCAACGAACTCGCACCAAATTGTTCTTGGTGACACTCTGAAGTGCTGCCAAAAAACAATTTCAAATGTGGTGCACAGGGTGGTTATGGCGCTAAATCATCCAGAAATAGTGTCACAGTTCATCGTTTGTAAGCCGTGGGATACACTCTGGTGCAGAAATAGGGCTAGCGAATTCGCCAGGCTCGGAAAATTTAGCAGTGAGTGGACTTTCAGTGTATTACAAGAGAAATATAACTTAGCAAGATGTAATTGGCTGCATCGACGGAACTCTAGTGCCAATCCAGAGTCCTCTCGGAGATGGTTACGTATACATGAGCAGGAAGGGATTCACCGCCTTAAACGTCTGCGTAGTTGTAGATGCAATTGGCCGTATTCTCTACGTTAACAGTGGCTTCCCAGGCTCTGTACATGATGCGACTGTTTGGAGGCGATGCGCTCTTGGCCAACAGTTCAATTCTGGTGAGACATGCGCAAGCTATGCGCTTCTTGGAGATTCCGGGTATGCAAATGGAAACGGCATCATGGCGCCCTACCGCCCAACAAGTGTTAGAGGAGATCTATTGAAAATGCGTTACAATCGCGAGCATCGCCATGTACGCGCCGTGGTGGAGAGGACTATAGGGAGATGGAAAAGGCGCTTTACAATATTGTGCACCGGGATGCGAGTCTCACCGGAATTCGCATCCAAGATAGTCATTGCTTGTGCAGTGCTGCACAACATGGGTTATTGTGTAGGGGCCACAAAGTGGCCACGTCTTGGGCATACGGTTGGCTACCATGCCACATCCGCAAGCCAACACCCGGGACGTTCGTGAATATGTTATGAGATTGCTTTGAAGAAACAACTTTATTTTGAAATGGTCAACAAACGATAAACACTATGTATTAAATGTCTTTTAATAAACATTCTTTCATTCAAAGTTCTCTTCTTCTACAGTTTCGTTTCCTTTTTGGAGTTTGCTTAAAAGGTTCAATTTGATGATTCAAACTTAGTGCACTTACTGAAAAACGAACCCTTTGGCTTAGTAAATTCTAAGATGCTCTCCAGACCCCTCTTTTGCAATTCGGCCATTTGAATAACTGCTTCGCACATCCTTGTTTGTTCCTGTGAATATTTTTTGATGACCAGTTGCAGTCAGAGCCTACAACTTTACCTGAAGCATTGTTCGGAAATATTCCAGAGCTTTGTCGAGTTTTTCGTTTAGGGAGTTTTGGAAACATTCAAAAGTTTTGTTAGATTTCTCATTCACGCAACTTTCAGACTCCCCCAACTCTTCGTCTGATACGTCCGAATCAACCAAAGCATCTATTTGCTAAATTCGTATCTTTGAACTAAATTAGAGTAGGCATTCAAGTCATTACATTGAAACTTTCCAAACTTGTGCAGGCGGAAGATTCATTACTTCGAGATCCACCAGCCATCCTTTCCTACCAAATACCAAAATGATTATGAACTAAATCAAAATCGTACTGAGACAAACGAACCCCTTTTTTGACATGATTGCGTTGTTCTGAGTGGCCCACAAGCAATTCGTCTTTTTTCCCCTTCTCTTTTCCATGCCACTGCAATGCGATACTTCAGTTGTGCCATATGTGCTATGCATACCTCATTCACTCTCAATGTGTCCGCGTTTGGAAGACCCCGAGCCGTTGTTCTTTGGTTGTAGTAGCTTTTCAACTCAAACTCTGTCTTTGAAACATTTTCTTCCTTAAAAATAGCTTCCTCTTCAAGTTCTCTTCCTCCGCCTGTTTTTTTGCGGTACCTGTCATGTGCTTGTTTTGTACAGGAAGTTAGAGTGCTTGAACTTACTTTTTTTTCTCTAATTTCAAGCGATAACGGCTTTCTTTTCCTATTATTAAAGTGCTGTTGCACTTGTTTGGGGGTCAGTGCGACGTCGAATTTTTCGAAAAGCTTCTTTGAAATTGTTTTCCAAACATCTTTCCTGTGCTCATTTGCACTTAAGAAGCGGTCACTCTGACCCCGAAGAAGAATACGCTCATTCTTGAGCACCATATTGACGATGAAATCTGAGGCCTTGCCTTTCAAAGGAGTAGTTCTCTTATCACTGATTACGCTGCGATCTGAATGGCACGTTCGAACTAAGCATCCAATGACTTGCTCTTGGCAGTTATTATATGATTAGTCACTATCAGCTAACTCAATTTTGTCCTCACGACAGATTGGAGACTTGCTAGGACGCAGTGGCAGTTAATCAGCTCATGGCACGTTGAAAATTTCATTTCGAGGTTATTTTACTTCTGAACAAGATTCCTCGCTGTCAGAAAGCTTTGAGCCGCCTGCCTCTGGCCTCATATGAATTCTTGGGCGGTATTTATCAATCTCTTATATTGAAAGGGGTTGCTGTACAGGTAACAGCCCGTACAGGAGCGGGCATTGGAGCCCTCGATACTCGAAGTCAAGCTGGGGATTAGGGTTCTGTCTACTGGGGGATATGGTCAGATGGCAAGTTTGGCCATGTCGAGCATCGCCCTCGGGCAGCAGAACCAGATCTCGAAACTCGCGCTGCGTCGCCCGAGGCACAGGTGCGATAAGGTGAGAATGACTCCTCCAGGGTGAAGGAGGTCACAGTGGTCGCAGCCCCTCCAGGGTGAAGGATGTTTCACTTGGTAGAGAAATTATAGAATCTTAAGCGAGCTCAAGTACAGGCTTCTTTACCATTGTAAAAAGGCGTCTACTTCAGCACACCCATTATACTCACCCACCCCTCACCCAGCACTTTTTCTAAAGGTCCCCAGGCAAGGTACATATTTTCAGAAAGCGGAGGACGAGATGGTTCCAGAGGTTACCATCAAGGCGTACAAGGTCTTCATCTACAGAAGTTATGAATTTTTTATGTTAAACTCGATCTCCAAAAATCACTGAGCACACTCTTCACCCAGGCAGTTTTTTTGGATCGATCTGAGACACACTGTATTTCGTCCAAAAAAAGGAGGATGAGGCGGTTCTAAAGGTGACCATCTCGCCGTATAAGACGTTTATCTACAAAAGCTATGAATTTTTTTTATGTTAAAAACTCGAAAATGTCCAGAAATCACTACTCACACCCGTCATTAAGCACTTTTTTTAATAGACTCCTCCTTTCCTATACATAAAAAATTTACGTACGAATATCTTTTTTGCTCAACCTTACCTCACTGTTGATTTTTTTCTCGGCTTTTGGTGAAAGGGGTCACCTTGGTCCCTCCTCATGGGTGAAGAGAGGGTGAGAAAATTCTCACATTATCGCACCTGTGGTTTGAGGGCATGCCCGATATGGCCAAACTTGCCATCGGACCACATTCTAAAGTTTAATGCTCACCGGATTGGCGTCCTCGTTTTCGTTTGGGCACTCGTTAATAATGGCCCGAGGATCGAGTCGGAGATTGATAAATGTCGCCCCTTGAGTCAATTGTAATTCGAAAAAGCGTAACCCACTGTGTGTTACGTCCACTCCGGCGTCAATAGCACAATAAAATGATTATTTGACCTTAGTTTAGTGCTATACGCGTTAATACGTTGAAACCATCACATCATTCTTTAAAACGAAAAAATGGTCGGGGGTACTTTTTCATTTTAAACTATGATGTAGTGGTTTCACGTCTGCGTCTCATGAAATGAAGTGCTGTTTTCATTACTCTATCTGATAAGGAAACAATGATGTTAACCTGCTGTTTAACTCATAGTCTGGTTTAGAATGAAACAAGCATGAAACATTCATGGTTTTCTGCTAGTTACTTGCTTGTTTCATAATTTTGTATGACCGATTGAACTGAGTGGCCGTGAAAAGATGATCATGCTTACCACGATGTAACCATGATTAAACCATCACATCATTTGATGGTTTCGATCAAATTACTACCACTCCTGTGTTTTACCGCAGGGCTTTTTTCGTAAGTTATGCCAATACAGCATTTATTTCAAGGTTTTCCAAAATTTGATAATACCATTCCAATCGCTTGAAAACTCGAAAATAGTTGTTTTATAACATCAAAATTCTCAAAACACAGCTACACAACTTTCCAAATTTTTGCGGAACTTTTTCAAACAGCCTATTATAGTTGGCGCTTATGTTGCATGTCCACACCGTAGTTCTACAGAAATAGAAACACAGATCGATTTGTGATCCGCATTATACTGCAAACTTAAGCTGAGGCCAGCTCTACAAAACGAGTAGATTAAAGGTGCCGTACACCCCTAGTTGTAGACCTTGAGCTTTCTGCAGCTTACGATAGTTGGATCCCCCTCCTCCGATGCCCAAATCGCAAGGAACGGCCCGTCGCCCTTCATATTCGGCTCAGTACGCGTCGTGACTGACAGGCGACGCGTGCAGCCGTATACTCGTTTCAGTAAGCATGAGGGAGTTTTACCGTAACTGTTCTAAGTATACTGGACAGTGAAAATTGTTTATCAAACGTTTTTTGTTTGTAAAGATCGTTCTGACTTTATTTGACGAAGTAGTTGGCTAAACATTTGTTTCGTATGATTTTGTGCTGAAAGAGAAATCAAATTACTTTATCACAGCTATGGATCAAACATTGAAACCTGAGCAAGCAGTAGGATAGAGACTATGCAGTAGATGATCATGAGTTCAATCAGGCAGAAAAGTATCTTCATCTTTGATTATCCACTTCTGGATGTGGAGGAGAATAAACATGCATAGATAAGGGAGCCTCCAGACCGCGCTGGTTGCGGCTTTTGCAGCCGGGGCGCATTAGGTCAGAATTCCTCCGTGGGGAGCATAGCGCGAACATACTTGCAGTAACGAAAGAAGGTTTTGTATTTTTTTGATAGGAAGCTACTACACTATAAGCTACTACACTATGTATGAAGGATATTCTACAGATTAAAATCTCTTTTGTCCATTTAAGCTCTTTAGCTACTTCACTGTACTGAAGTTAACGATAAAACGGATTCTATCACCTTTGCGAAACTTCTATTTTCTATTTAACTTTTTAAAAATTCTATCATCTAGTTTCGTGAACTGGTTGTTTCTCTTATGCTGAGTGTACAATGGACGAGCCCCAAGACGAAAAAGAAAACAAACTGACTCTGCGTTTGGAGGAAATCGTTCAATCATCATAGTAAAGTAGAACCAAAGGCAAGCACATCAGAATCTTAACGACACTGCTCCTACAGCATAGCGAAAGAGCTCAAATATAGGTCATTTACAAAATCATGACGACGTTGGTTGCGCCATCGTCACGATTTTTTGAATCCTCTACAAAAAGAAAATGATATTGCTCACCCAGCATAGCAATACGGTCAAAATGAAATCTAGAGCACAGTGAGTTCAAAAAACCTCGTTTCTAGCGAAATCAGCCAATTAGCAAAAAGCGTGACCTAGAAATGAAAATTGGTAGAAACTTCGTTTAACATCATCTGCTCATTCTAGCATAAACGAATACCTGCGCAATGGGAGAAGGAAGCTCCTTTGGACAACTATCCAATCGCACAGCATCGAAGAACACCGAAAGTGCGAAAGCCGGATCAAAACCACATTAGTAAAAAAACTGTTTGCTTATATATAGAAGAAGTTTAAACAAAAGAATAGCGAAAAAATTAAAATTCTTCCGGACACCACTAGTGTGATAAGCTCCCGCTATGTGCCCCACGGACAAGATCTGATCCAGTGCGCTTCAGCTGCAAAGGGCAACCGACGCGAATGCGGCTGTCGGCTGCAATGGCGGCAACTAGTGCGGTCTGGAAGCTCCCTAAGACATGCGATTTTTTTCAGATAAGATCACGAAAACCTTTTTTGCGCGGTCGCAATTAGACTTACTTTATACACCGAACAGTCAAGGCTTCCCGCTTGATCAAAGAGGATGTCAGTGTGGTATGTTGATGCTTTTAATCCCATGCTCAGTCAAAAAGCTGTGGTCTCAGCGCTGATTCCAAATTTCTCAATAACCGAGTTCTGAAGCTAATTATTACCAACTAGCTTGCTTACCCGGCTCCGCCCGGTTCAGTGAAAACTATGATGAAGGTTCCACCCTTATCCGTGCAGAATCCTTCAGTGTGCCACTTCTCCATGCAAATTCCCCATCCCCGTTTTTTCAGCATGCTCACCTACCCCTGTGCCAACTCCCAGTCCTCTAGGTCCTCAACTCCGCAAAAAATCGATAAAATCGATAAAAATTATGGATGAATCCAAAAACTAATACTGTATTCGCAATCAGCATGCTCGATTACCCCTCTGTAAGAACTCCCAGCCCCGTAAGTGAACTCTGCAAAAAAATCGATAAAATCGACAAAAGTAATGGATGATGTTGAAAACTAATATTGCATTCGTAATCAGCATGCTCGATTACCCCCCTGCGCAAACTCCCAGCCCCGTAAGTGAACTCTGCAAAAAATCGATAAAATCGACAAAAGTAATGGATGATGTTGAAAACTAATATTGCATTCGTAATCAGCATGCTCGATTACCCCCCTGCGCAAACTTCCAGCCCCGCAGGTCAAACTTTACAAAAAAAATCGATAAAATCGATAAAAGTAATGGATGATGTTGAAAACTAACATTGTATTCGTAATCACCATGCTCGATTACCCGTGCAAACTCACAGCCCCGCAGGTCAAACTTTGCAAAAAAATCGATTAAATCGATAAAAGTAATAATGGATGAATTAAAAAACTAATACTGTATTCGTAATCAGCATGCTCGATTACCTCCCTGTGCAAACTCCCAGCCCCGCAGGTCAAACTTTACAATAAATCGATAAAATCGATAAAAGTAATCGATAATACTGAAAACCAATATTGCATTCGGAATCCACATGCTCGATTACCCCCCTGTGCAAATTCCAGCCCCGTAGGTGAACTCAGCAAAAAAAAACGATAAAAATCGATAAAATCGATATCGATCGATGACGAAAAATAGACTGTGACACCCGCCGGCGCCCGAAGTGTATATGTGCCAAGTTTGGTCCGGATCAGTTCAGAAATGGAATTTTCTATTCGGAACATACGTACATACAGACAGACAAATATACAGACATACAGACATACAAACAGAC